TTTTTTCCGATAAGTGTGACATCGCCAAAACAATATGTAATAGTTGTTACCATGGCTAAACAATTGTATGAGGCATAAAAAGGATGATATATTTGCCTGAAAATATCATCATTCGTGAAATAAAAACTGACTGAAAAATATTTCAAAAATATTGTTATAAAAATAAAAATTGTTTAAGCAAGTAATATTCTTTACTAATCTTCTGATTTAATAATTTGGATTTCTTTTTTTTTTAATTCAGAAATTTAACTTACAATAGTTTCTCTTGAAAGCGGTAGCAAATTGAGGATGAATAAAACAAAAGCTGATACGAATAAGGACAAACAATCAGCAACCATTGTTATAAGCATTGAATTAGTAAGTTGGTTTTGACGACTATAAGCTCCGCCATTACATCCAGCTATAATTAATGATTTTTTTTTTCGAGAATACAAAAAAATCACAGATAATTTAAGGAAGATCAATTTTTCTATGCTCATTAAAAGAATATGCACTAATGCAATAGCTGAAATTAATCCAGTCTCGAGAGATACACAACTCAATGAGCAAGACTAGAAATGAATATGTATATAACTACCTATATAACTTTCGATAATCGCTGCGTTTAGTTACTTACGTGAAGCGAAAATGATTACTGCAAATTGCGATAAAACTTTATTCTTATGGCTTCAAGCAAAGTATGAAAGATCGATGTAATGTTAAAGTTTTTCATGAAGTAATCTTTACCTCTCGTAAATAGTCATTCTTATTTCTCAACAGAATGTGCTTTCCCTTCGCGTTAAAAAAATGATAAGATGATATCAAACTTATTTCCTCTATTTTTTGAATAAAGATCACTTTCAAATTGCACTGAATTATCAAACTTGGAAAGATAGGTTAAGAAAGATTAACGTCACACGGATAAATGAAACAAAAAGAATTTTACTGAAATTTGCGCGCATTTCTAGAATTTACTTCTTTGAGAGAATTTAATTCCGCTTATAAGAATCTACTATGAATACCAGTTATAAAATACTTTGCAGCAATTGATTGGCACTAATAAAAGCAATAAAAAAAATATTTCAAATTTGAGAAAATGAAATATGGCATTTCTACTAAAAGTTTGACTATCTTGTAAGAACTATTTTTGATTGCTTTAAAAAATCGATTCAAATAAAAAAATAACAGAGATGAGAATTTAAAAAATTATAGCTCAACTTGTCGATTCTCATAGATTTGAAAATTGTCTTTTGAATGCTGTAAGTAATTATATTATATGGCAACTGATTCAAGAGTAACTATTTAAGTTGATCAGTTAGAAGTATAGTATTGTACCGTATTGGTGATCTATTTATGATGTCTTGAGAAAGGTCAAATAAGAATTGATTGAAGATTGAAGATAAAAGCATATTGTTAGGGATAAATAATTTGGCATGTTATTACGATGTCAAAAAAATATTCACAAAAATTACATGAGAATCTAAGAAGCAATTGTAGAGATTTTGGAATTGTTCGCTTATTTTAGCAAGCTATTACCATAATTATTTTTTAGTTTTACTATTAGTAATATGAATGAGAAACACACATAATTCATGATGCTTTGCGAAATTTCGTAACAAATGATAATTGACAACATTTAGCATGAAAACAGCTACAGCTATGCTTATAGAGCTACAATTCCATACTGTCATTAATTCTGATGAATAGGCCGTTGTTTGATCGCATGATTCTATAACCTGAAAAACTGTCATTTCTTTTTTGCTTGAAATCATTCCTGAAATGGATGTATCTTTTATGCGATATTAACTTCGTTATCAGCAGTGATAAAACCAGGAATGATAAGCGCAGTTGAGTAAATGAATCCAATGCCGGTGGCTAACACAATGAAAGGTTTCGTTCGCACCGTTCGGTATCTAAAAGATTATTTTTGCTTCTTTTTTTTTTTTTCTGAATTTGACGTTGAATGTCACTTCTCAGATTAGAAGAGAAGTATGATTGAGAAAGTGGTAAATATTTAATTCGACAATTAAATCACCAATATTTTACTGTGATAATTAATAAATATCACTAATCGGAATTCGAGAGTGCTTACTTGGCCGGCAATCGGATGGCGATGAAACGATCGATGGCGAGAAATAATAATGCAATATTTGCCATATTGAAAGAATAGGAATATAAAAAGATCGAGCGATAGCAATTCACTCTTTTCATGATCGCTTTGTTGAGGAATATTTCAGTTGCTTTCTTCCATTCATATATTTCACATATCTGCAAAGAGCGCTTCGATTATGCAATGAAATCAATGAAAACTATTTAATTATTTTAATTAGTTTTCATACTTTTTTACGTCCAATCTACAATAGAATGGATCAGATTGAAAGAATTTTAAATTACCAATGTCATCTTCTTCCATGTAATTTAATAATCTTCAGACAAGCCCATAAATATAAATGTACATTTGCGGCGCAATAATATATTTATAAACTTTAATAGAAATCAAAATTCATCGCTGTACTGTATGTATTATAAAAATTTGTTTCTTTTGTTTTCAAAAGCAAATATACAAACAAAAAATTACAAGGTCGAAAAGTGCAACAATTGCAACCAATAAGCTATTTCGATTCCGTAAATCTCTAAATTTCCAAGTGGCATAAATTAAGTTCAAATTGCCAAACATGCCTAAGACTAGCAGCGGTATCATAAATATTGCTATCAATGTCAGAATCTTCATTTCTTCTTTCCTGAAAATTATTATCTCATAATATCATTCTCAATTAACATATCAAACAAATTATCAGCTAAATTTTCAATCTTTGGATTATTCCTTCATCCCAATTACATCTTTACCTGATGCTAATATATTTTTACAAGCAAAATTTTTTGTAATAAACTTTCATAAACAACTTGGACAACAAGTAGTGACTGAACTATTCCTATATATTTATTACTTTCATAAAAAATAATTGTTTTGTTTTTAATTTATTTAAAAATATGTCAGTCATCTCAGAGAAACGCTTCAATAATCCATTAAAAAGTACTCGATTTTCTAATTACATTGAACAATTTTCTTGTTGAACTGATTATAAATTAATTAAATAACCTTGTTTTTAAATTCACTTTGGATGTGTTTTCATGAGGGCTTCATATTTGCCATATTTAAAAGCACTTAAAAGTTAAGGTATAGCAATATCGCGGGAGTCATTTTTTTTTTTCAAACGTCAGTAGCAGTTATAATTTCAAATTTATTACTTATTTCGGCTAAAGATTAAGCGAAAAAAACTGAACGAGAAGTTTCAAAGTTTCAAAGGATGCCGTATGGTTATAGCAAATATGCTTTCAGTGCTAAATCACCAAAAATATCATTGAATAAACATGAAAAGTAAATTTTATCCAGAAACGAAAATTATTTAAACCAATGATCATAAAAAATTTTATAAATACAAATTTAAAACCGATCCTCAGTTTATATATCCAAAGAAAAAATCTGACCCCCAATTTTTCGTTTCTGAAGCACTTTTTTATTTAGGAATAAAATGAATAACATAGCACGAGTGTGAATAGATGTTATTTCCAACATTTAATGCTATTTTCTTAGAAAAATTTTAATTTCAATTAGTGAAGAATTTTTAAAAATTCTGATTGGTTAAGCATTAATTTTAATTAGTATTTGATTTGTTGACAGACATAAGCAACAGCGATCGATCTCAAAGTTACATTTTATGATAGTTATCTTCTTGAGATGAAACATTGTTAGGGAACGGAAAAATAAGCACTTACTGTAATAAATTAAGAGAGGAAAAAAACGAGAAAAAAAAAAACAAAATTCATCATCAAATGACTGATGACGAAAGAATAAAAGTATAATCTGCTAAATGCGAAATATTGTTTTTTTTCATTAAAAATACACTTATTAGTACTATTTTTTTTGCTATCATTACTATTTCATTCGCAGAAACAAATAACATTACTGTTCGACTTCTCTGATAAGCTGATAGAGTGTGACCTTTTGTGATTGAGATAAAAGTGTATTCGCTAAATTACATTTGCAGTAATCATGCAAGAGAATAAAATTTATAGATATGATAAAAGAATAGGTTTAATTAGAATAACAGAATAAACTTAATCCGAGAAAATAAACCGTGATTAATTAATTAAAAAGCAAAAAATGTCACAAATGTTAATTGGAGAAATGCAGGATGATCGATTTAAGTTTTTCACTCATGCGATATGTTAATCTAAGAGATAGATCAGAGGTGATAAAAATGATGAATTTCAGTACTTGCAGAATTTTCAAGAAAAGCTTTAAAAAATTTTTCATTTATAACAAAAAATTAAATTTTACATGAATCTTTTAGAAATTGTGAGAAACTTATCGCTTACAAACTAATTTTACATGCTTTAATCTTTAATGCAACTCATAGTTCTATCAGATAATAATCGGTGATTTGCTATTAGTGAACGGAAAGTAATGTTTGAAGTGATAGCATGAATTTTCTTTTCAAAAATAAAACAAAATTAAAATTGCCACCGTCGAAAAATTATATCCCCTTTTTGTATTTTCCGCCTCGACATTTCTCGATGCCTTGGGACAACGAAAGTTCATAACGATTCACTGTTGGCTGCTGAAGACCACATTATGATGACCTTTCTTACTAAGAGATTGAGATTGGGTTGCTTGTCATTGGCTCTTTTTTGGTAGCTGATTGTGCGGCTAAGGATTAGGTGATTATGTTAAGTACTTTTTCTTCTGATAAGCAGAACTTTTTGATGATGTGGCTTAGTCTAATGCTAAAATAAGTGTAGAAAGAGCCTGCAGTTGTTGAGCAATTTTGCTTTTCATAAACAATCATTTTGGTGCATTTTGAATCACCAACATTTTTTTGCTAATTTTTGTTGCCAATTTATGAATTAATTGGATAGAACTGAAATTAGCTGATATTAATTTCTCTTTCAGATGATTCATTTGAGTTTATTTTCAGAGATTCTTTTTCTTTTTTAATTATCAAAGAATATAGAGCAAAATGATACGTGCAAGTGGTGCAGCACCAATCATTGTACTTAGTCAAAATACAACCAGAGAAAGTGGCCATCAGGTGCAAGCTGGTAATATTGCTGCTGCCAAGGTATTGAGTTTTATTATTATCATTATTGATCATATTTTGATTAAATATTGTTTTTACCCAAGCAGTCACACGGTCTAGCAGTCGCATGGGATGCAACATTATTATTAATTTCAGTAGTGTAATTCCTTTCATTATCTTCTGAGGGCACTATCATTATCATTCGCAGATATATTCTTTGTTCGAGACTCAAAATGGTATCTGCTAAGATCATCTTTTGAAATACTAATGCGGAAAGTATCAAGCTGAGAAGTTTCCCTAGAGAGGATGATTCCGTATTTTGATTCTTGTGTTTCAGACTATTGCTGATGTCATTCGTACAAGTTTGGGACCACGTTCTATGTTAAAAATGCTGATGGATCCAATGGGAGGTATATTTTTGTTTAATTTGAAAGAAAGAATGCACTGGATTTCCATATTATTAATGATTGTGTTTATGTGTTGTTATTGACTGACCAATAAGCGACAGATAATAGCAATTTCCGGCATATTGATGTAAGGAGTGTTTTCTGGACATTGTGATTATTGATAGTTTATTTACATAACAAGCATTTACAGGTATAGTTATTACAAACGATGGTAACGCAATTTTACGCGAAATTACGGTGAAACATCCAGCGGCGAAATCAATTATCGAAATAGCTCGTACACAGGATGAAGAAACTGGTGATGGTACTACCTCGGTTATAATACTAGCTGGTGAAGTGATGTCACAGGCACAACAGTTTTTAGATCAGAACATCCATCCGACTATTATTATTCAAGTGAGTCTTATCGATTTAGAAGTCACTATTTTCCAGTTTGGCTAAACACTAATTGAAAAGATTCTGCATATCAAAGTTGTGTACAGAACGAATTTACATTCAGGCTTATCGGATGGCTCTAGAAGATATGATTGTTCTCGCTGAAGAAAAATTCAGGTTACATATACAATCGAAAATTTGATAGTTTGTGCGCAATATTTCTTTAACCTATAATGTATGCTTTATTTGTAATGTATGTATATTTGAAATTTCTGCTCTTATCCTTTCTGGCAATAGATCTGTAAAGGATATTGCTAAAATAGAACCCTCATAACTCTATGGATTGTTTAGATTTTCAAATAAATCTCGTATTTATTTTAAATTGCGTCTAAGATGACGATATTTTTCAGTAAGCAGATTGATGTAAACAACGATGAGGAAGTCGGTTCTGTTATTAAATCATGTTTGGGTACAAAATTGTTGTCGAAATGGATGGATTTGGCTGTCAAAATGGCACTAATTGCTGTTAAAACTATTAGAATTGTCGAACAAGGCCATCAAGAAATTGACATCAAACGTTATTGTCGTATTGAAAAGGTATCAGTATTATTTCCTTACATTACTCTCAATTTTTTCACTAATCTCAAGCTATACGCTGTTCATATTCATGCTTAATTCATCTAATAGCACGATTATTATATACTATTCTCTTCTGAAAAATTTTTACTAGTAATAGTCGGAAATAAGCAAGAACTTCTATATGAGTAAGAAAAGTAACTCCTGTACTTCTATCAATGTTTCCTGTAAAGATCATATTTTCATATATTGCTTAATAACAGAAATAATGTAATCAAAAACAGTTTCTGGATATAGACTAATTCTAATAGTTTAACAACAGTTAGGGCGATTTTGAAGCCAAATCCATTCATTTCGACAACATTTTTTGAACATGTTCAATTCTAGATACCTGGTGGACGAATTGAAGATTCGCAAGTGATAAAAGGCGTGGTGTTGAATAAAGATGTGACGCATGCGAAAATGTTACGTCGGAAGGAAAAGCCACGTGTTGTACTTCTTGATTGCAATCTTGAATATAAAAAGGGCGAAAGTCAGATGTCATTGGAAATCATGAAAGAAGAAGATTTCAGTAAAGTTTTGGAACAGGTACATTTTGATTTAGTCCACCTTTTTGTTTCAGGATACTGGAATTCATTTTTGTATTGAAATGATCGGTAAATTTTCCAAAGTAGCATGATTGAAAATTACATTTGTTGTGGAAATAAACAGTTTTAAGGAAGAAGATGCAATCAAGAAAATGTGTGACGAGATAATAGCCGTGAAACCGGATGTTGTTTTCACCGAGAAAGGTGTTTCTGATTTGGCGCAACATTTTCTTTTGAAGGCGGGCGTAACGGTAATTAGACGCTTGAAGAAAACTGAAAACAACAGATTGGCTCGGTATAATATTTTAGTGAAAGATACGATCATATATATAACTTCAACTTTATATTCCGTAAAGAAACAAAAAAGTCGTAATCATGAAGTATTCTTAACATGGCGAAAGATACCCATGTCAACGTAATCTCAACTTCTAAAAGAGATGAAGCTCATGTTCCTGATATTTCATTGCAGTGTTACCGGAGCCACGATTGTTAATGATACGCAAGATCTTCGTGAAGAAGATGTTGGCACGAACGCTGATTTATTTGAAATCAAGAAAATTGCTGACGAGTATTACACTTACGTTACTTCAGAAAAAGCCACTGCTGTAACCGTAGTTTTGCGAGGCCCAAGCAAGGTAATGTCAAGAGATATATTGATTGAAAAAAGCAGGAGTTCAAACGTAAAAAAATTTTTTCCTTGTTCTAAACTCTCAACTTTAATCTCGTTTAAATTATAAAATATCTTGTTAGTAAATTGCGGAGATAGTTATTCGTGTTCATGTTTTCTAAATGATAAACATCTGATTCATCTCAAAATGGTTGTCTTCGAGGGCTGTGTATCTGGCTTTAATGTTTAGATATAAGCATATGATAAATTTCTAATTAACAATTTAATTATTTGGCTTATGTAATTTAGGAAGTTATAGCGTTGCACGAGCTAAATCTTCACTACGTTATCCTCAGTTCTGATACATCGTTATATTAGTGTTCATAAGCCACTTTTCGTTTTTATTTTGTAGGATATCATCAATGAAATAGAACGAAATCTTCAAGATGCATTGAATGTTGTACGTAATGTCATGGTGAATCCACGTCTTGTTCCAGGTGGTGGCGCTATAGAAATGGCATTAGCTCAGGTTGAATTTCTGATAGTTTGAATCACTAATTTTGTTGATGATTGCTTTCAAATGATTAACATTTCTACTGCTCAAAGAAAAGAGAATTTTTAATCACTTTGCAAAATGCTTTATTTCTGTTTAGGTTTCAATCTATAGGTTGCTATAAGTAGCTTTGAGAGAAGTGGTTACTCTCATGCATTGGTAGTTTTTATAGGCCTTAAATGAGAAAAGCAAATCAATTGAGGGTGTGCGTCAATGGCCGTATAAGGCAGTCGCTCACGCTCTTGAAGTTATTCCAAGAACATTGGTACAAAATTGTGGTGGTTCGACAATTAGACAGTTAACAGCTTTGAGAGCTAAACATGCTCAAGCTACCAACAATTGGACCTGGGGGATTGATGGGTGCACCGGTCAATTGGTGAGTTTTTATTTTCTCTGCGGTGCTTTAAAACTATTTCTGTAAGGTTCATGTTGGATTATAAAATAGGCGGAAGGTTTTGAACTTCACCATTCATCATTAAGGGCATTGAAGCTGTTGGTGGAGCACACTTTAGCGAGAACTGTAGCTAGAATAATTCAAACTTTCTTAAAATTCAAGGATTTGGGATTTTGTGATGAAATGATTGTTTAATCAAATTCTTATAAGTTTGAAGAACATTCGTTTATCAGTCATTATGTGTATTCTCTTATATGATTGAAACTTTTTCAGGCTGATATGAACGAATTAAATATTTGGGATCCGTTATCGGTCCGCCTGCAAGTTTTGAAAACAGCTATTGAGACAGGCGTGTTGTTGCTGCGAATTGATGATATCGTTTCAGGAACAAAGAAACGTGATGGTACTGGTTCAAGTGACGGAAATCCCACTGCTGATTCTTGAACTTTTCTTAATTTCTCAGAATTCACATTTTTGTTCTTTTTTGTATTGTTTTGAAATTTTAAATTTGTTGACATATTTGACCATTTCGCAAAGATCTTTACGCGATGATTTACTTTTTTGCCGCTGTGTAAGCTTTAGCACATGATCGTTATACATTATAAAACCACTATGTTTAATTATGTTTGATTATTAAAAAGTGGTGGAAATCACAATTTTTTTTGTTGAATGATGATAAAGCTTAACATTTACTGCAAGACCATAACTTCTCGTACTTATTTCTCTCGAAACTTGGAGACTAATTCAAAAAATGCTTTTTATTGTTAAATGTTTGAATTTTTTCGCTTTAAAATTTTGCTTAATTGTTATGGTGAAAAATGATAAAACGAAAAAGTTTAAAATTTTTATAACGTTTTACAGCAACTGTTATACAACAATAAAGTATTGATAAAGGCGAGCAGCTATTGTGGGCAGTCAGATGTTTCGATTCGTGAGGGCGATTCATTACTTCCAGTAGCTTGCATTCCCATAATGACTTGCATTCAACGTTCATTAGTCATGGTTGATAGTCGGAATCTTATATTCACTCCAGTCAAATTCTTAAAATGAACTTTTGGCTTTTTCAGGTTAACGTTGGTGCTTCATTTTTTTTTCCGGGAGGTGATGGAATTGGAGAGGTCTAAGAAAATAAAATATTCAAAACCACGTGAGCTTTCACCGCCGCCACCCGTATTAACCCTTGACGAATTGGAAGAACGATTGACAGATACTGACGAACGTCAGCCATCAACATCGGGAATTAGAAAGGAAGGTGCAACAAAAGAGGTAGAGAGGGATGATAAATCTGCCAATGGAGAAAATATTGTAAAATCAGACGAGAAACTTGGCGGCGCTATTTCAATATACAAATCATCCACTGATTCAAAAGAAATTAGCGGAACAGAGAAGTTTGTTTTCTTTAGACATGTATGAAGAAATTTGTTCCAACATGATCTCAGCATGTGTTGAGGTTTGATTAGCATTAGAATCAAAAAATTTCACCTTGAAGTTATAAGGAAAATTTCTGATTTTTGTTCAGCCACTTCTTAATATCATTCAAAAAAAATGCACATTTTCCCAAGCTTAACCCAGTAATTTTAAGTTATTAAAATTCCATGTGTTAACATTTCGAGTCTTTGAGAGATCCTATGAATGTTAGGTTATGCTACCAAGTGGAAAATACTGTACTGAAAAATATCAGAATTATGATAACATTGTACATATAACATTATTAAATTCAGGACAATAGAATGTGATGCGAGGCGAGATGATAAGGTTTTGTCCGAAACAAAGAAGGAAGAGGGTGTGGAAAATGTCACGTCCGCTAGTATTCTTGTAGATAATATTTATCTTGCTCCAACAACATTTGCATCCAGTTCACTTCTCAACAGCAAAGAAGCAACAAAAGCAAATGACGCAACGTCAGTACCACAGTACATCAATAGATTTTGTTGATTTGTCTTGATGTTGATTTTCCCATATGCGTTCCACAAGTTCCTTTAAATTTTGTTGTTTCTCATTTATGGTTTAAACCAAGATCGGATCAATATCGTTAACCTCTGTTTATTTAATATACTTCAACAAAAATGACAGGTACGGTCATGATGACTAAATAAGTTATCGAACAAGATGAAATGCTTCAATCAGAAAAAAGTACACAATTTTAGCTTATGTGCATGCTAGTATATTGATCAGAAAGCATGCATCCATATAAGAGAATGCAATAAATTTTTCACTCATTAAAAAAATTATTTCACTTGATTGTATTAATTACTTTTCGGATCGAGTATCTATCCAAATAATCAACTGAATGAAATGAAGGAAGCGGCTTCCCGGAAGATCAGTGAATTGTCACCGTTAATTTGTACTTCGGGACGAGTACAAGAACACGATATAACTGACATGGGACAATCAATGCCTCTGTTGTCAGAAACTCAGTATAAGTTTTATTTCATTACTTTTTTGCTTTGAATGACTGCTCAGTTATGACAAGAGGGAACGGAGCGAGCAGTTAATTTGGGTGAAATTTAATAAAATGAGAGAATTAACTTGAATTTTGAGAGAGTTCGATAATTCAATTTGAAAATCACATAAATTTAGTAAGGCCAATGTCACCCAAAGCTTGAGCTGTGTTTTGGTTAGTTGATTAGGCAGTTAAAATCATGAACCGAAGGCTGGTGCTGACCCATGCCTGACATAAAATACTCTAACAACTGGAAATACAGTGCTTTAAATTATTAAACCTTTATTATTAACTGTTTGTTTTGAAGCAGTAAAATTGTTTTGAAGAAATAAATCTTTATTATTATTTGTTTTATTTTTTTTCAAGGAATAAGGCTATGGGTGAACGCATAGCTAATGCTCATCTATCTTTTTTGTTGGAATGCAATGAATACGGATTGCTGACGGAAAATCAGTTATTAGCATTTTACCAAAACGAACTATATGAAACCGTGGAAGAGTTTGTAGATGAATTTTTAGAAGTATGAAGAATATTCCGTTTCAAAAATATATTCATATCTTAGATTTTGATTACAAAACCAATAAACTTCCGTTATTTTGTGTTTTATAAAAATTTATTTATTGAGCATTCTTTTTTTTCGAAATGTGAAATAATGCTATTTCTTAATGTTCTTTTTATAGCATGAAGAATTTCCACAACATAGTTTGCATGAATATTTGGAACGATATAAAATAGTATGTGAACATATCGATGCTAAAGAAATTGAAGCTATGGATTGTGAACAACTAGTGAAAGAATGTGCCCAAGCATCATGGACAGCTGAAAATCGAGTTATCAAGCAAGAAGTATGAATAAATTTAGAAAGTGACATCTTTATTCCAAAACTCTGTTTGAATTTCGAAGAAAAACTGCAGTCTGAAATCTGTTTTAATTGGGTATCTTTAATTATATTTGCTTGAAGGCAGTAAAAGTAGTCTATTAAATCAGATTCCGGTTGCATGTTTGATGAAGGTTACTCTAATTTGCATACTTGAAACTTTCTCATCTTTCCTTAATATATTGAATGTTTTTTATAGAGAAAAATAAACTCATATAATTCGACATAATTCTTGATATCATTCTATATAACTCGACATATTCGACGTCGTTTTTATAATTAAAATGTAAAGATTTCACAGAAATTTTTAACTGCTATTAGTATTCTCAATATATTATAACAAAAACCTCGTGGAAGGAATGCGTGAAGCGTATTTTAAATGTTGTTTTACTTATTTACTACATAATTTACGATTCGTTTCATTTCAGGGACGATGCGGAGAACAGAAATATGCAACAGGTAGTTCAAATTATTTAATTGCAACGTTTCATCCCGAGAAAGCTACAGAATTGTCCCGCTTATTGAAGCGTGATGTATCTACCCGCCTTGATTCGTCGTTAAGTTTACAAATTCAGGTAACAGTACATTTCTATGATCCTTCCAACTTACCGTTTAATACTTGCGGAAAATCGTTTAAATAACCGTTTCTTTGCCAAACACTGTTTCAGTTGTTTTGGATGTGGAAAAATTCCAATATTCTGAAATTTGTACATGCAGATTTATTGGAGAGAGGATGCTACTATTTTTAAAGACGATTTACTGTTTTTTAAAATCGTTTCATTTAATCTTCATTTATGCCAATATATGAGCTGAAGCTTAACATTCTAAAATATGTTATTCAAAGGCAGGTGCCAAATAATTCTGTAAATAATTTATCATTTTCAAACAGTTAAATTAGTCATTAAAAAAACATTTAGATAAATGATTTCTTATTAGTTACAGATGCGTTCTCTTGCATTACAAATTCAATGGCGTATTGTTGAGTACAACAATATCTTTATGGTGGAACATCGTTGCAATATAGATAGTCCACCGTGCTGTCAGTTTTGTAAATCTATTACATCATGCGAAAAATTGCTTTTATAATGTTATTCCTCGACATAAATCCATCAAACTTTATGAAATATTTTTATAATATCTAACAAAATACAGTTCTGTATGTTGTGGATAACAAACTTGTTTGAATTCTTAGTCTTTCTTTTCTGAAAAATGTTATTTTATAACTTTTCATCTGAATTGAAATATCATTTTAATTATCTTTTATTTCCTGTGATTTTTTCTCAAGTTTTAGTTCTTCCTGGTAGTGCTGATACTGTAAGCAGGCGAAACCTTCGTAATGCACTTTCGGATTTGTTCCACTATTTACGTTATCCAAATCTTCCTTCACGGTTCATATCTGCCGTTTCTGGGTGGATCAGTGAATTGGTAAGTTCCATATTAAAAGTCGCTTTCCCCAGCTTATATGTAGAAATTGAATTTGTTTTTTGAAAAAGAACTTTGAAATGATTTTTTTGAAGTTCATGATTCAGGTAGCTGTTCTTCTGAAAGCATGTACTTCTTCTGACCAGCAGTATTTGTTATGTCAAGTACTTCGTCTAGTTTCACCAGTATCCCAGTGGGCAGCACCATTACTTCAATCATATATCGAAATTGACAGCATGAATGATCGTCTTATTATTGATAATTATATAGTAATGATGAGTTTGCTGCTTTCATCAATACGGTAAGTACTTATTGATTCTTGGTATTGACACTCTCGTCGACCATGTATTTAATTCTCTATTTATGTAACTTCCACATGGTTGTTGATTTTGATTATTGTTTTTAGTTGACATTTTTAATCATAATTATTCTTTTCATTTTTAGCAGTCTACATTTCTACATTTGGTACATATGGGCTTGAAATGATATGACTTAATCAAATCTTGTAATTTTGAACTTTGAATGATTGATGTATTGCAGGGGCCGTGAAAATTTTTTGCGACGCATAATGAATGTTGAAAATGGAAACAATGCATGGGTTGTTATAAATGACGATGGAGCGGAGGTGATTTTCCAACTTTACCATACTAATTAGTGAATATTCAACTTTCATAATAGCCTGTATTTTGATGGTTTGTAGCTCATTTAAAAGAGAAATTTAATACAGCCAATTTTGAGTAATTATGGAATTCTAATTAGTCAACAATTTTGAAGAGTGATCCAAATATGTACGTCAACAAAAACATGAAAGATGTCACTTTTCAGAAAGATGGATCTGTAATAACCATAAGTGAAACTGATTTGATTGCATTTCTCAATCAATTCAATGCTGAAGCTGCTTTTGCTAAAGCAGTTCGATGTTTTGCTATCACTCTAAGTAAGTCTCTCAGTCGAACTAAACAGTTCTAATTAATTCTTCGGTCATTAATGTGTCGCTTGGAATTTAAACTGCTGTTTGATGTAGAATTAATTTGCTTTACATCTCCAACTTTATTTCACTTTCACTGAGCTGTAATATGATTTTTAGAGTTAATTTTATTGTCAGCATTTTTTTAAGGATCGGATCCAATTAATCAGGCTTTAACTTTGGTTGCTTTTGAATTGGTGCTCATAAAAATATTTAACGATGGCTTGTACACCTATGGCACACCCAATTATCGTCAATTTTGTAAACAAATTGGCTATGCGTTACGCCAAAGTGTCATGTAATTTTTATTCAAGTAATTTATATGTCATGGTTTATATTATCCACTAATTAAATCAAGAAATTCTACTTAATTCAAATGAGATCTTCAGCAAACTCGATTAGATATCTCCCTGCAGTAAGAGAATGTCATTGGATGGGCGCTGTAAGAATTACTGACGGTATTGTGACAAATCTTTTGTCTGTACTGCCGGTTCTATTATGATCATGAAATGTAGAACATTCCTCAGGATAACTATGTATTAATAATTTTTATTTACAAATGCAAGTAATCCAGACAGCACTGATATGAATAAATTGCAGATGTTCAGCAGAATTTCTGAAAGTTATCAAAGATATGTTATCAACTGCTGAAGCAGAAATAGTGCAGAAAGAATTTGATCGCATTGTTCTACATGCCGTGTATTATATCGTCAGCAAGCAGAAGTATTTTATTTTATGTATTATTAAATTTTTTTAAATTTTTTTTATATCATACACTTTGGCTATTTAAAGTAAGTATTGGTTAAGAAACAAGAAAAAAGCAATAATATTGCAACTACAATACTAAGATAGTACATTGAGGACGAGAAACATTAGTCAAGCAAAAAAGCTAATGCCATAATTAGCTGTAATTAACATAGAAGACGGTCCCTTCATGATATAAAATTGTTGAATGTAATTTCCTTCAATGCGTGAAGATCAGTCAAAAGTATTTCGGTTTGGAATATCTGTGAATTAGGCTATTGACGATATATTCAGCTTTTTTCGCCAGTTTTTAAACATTTTTTTTTTATTTTTATATCAAAAAACATAAAATAAAATAACTTCAGCCTTGGCCTTTTGCAATTTGTAGTAGATTTGCCATATAATTTTGCAAGTGAAGCATGTCGAATGCGTTGTCAAATATTGTTGAAGCGAAAAATGGCGGTAACAGTAGCGCAACTATACGAGTTTCCAGAAGAAGATTTGCCTAATTTAGTTGACAAAGGTTTGCATGACATTTATTGATTTCGTTTTTTTCTTACATGAAAAGATTTCGAATGGAGTAAAAATTTTTCAATATTATTTATTTTTTGATTTTTAAAGCTGGCAATTTATTTGACAAATTACCGGATTTGCCCAGTGACGATCGCATTTATATGATTTCGGCTTTAGCATCCATCATTTCTGCATCGGATTCATATGTTGATTCATTTACCATTGAAATACTGAATGTAAGCCATTTTTTATTCCATATTATGATTCAAAAAATATATTTGTTAGATATTTCTTAAGCTTTTTATACTTTTCTCTAAATTTTGTGTTTCCAATATTATAATAATTACGATGGTTATAGGCATTTTTTTTTTATTTCAGTCATGGTTTGATTGTACTTTAAGCATAGCGTATGTACATGCAGAAGTGTTCATTGAAAGTGCAATTTATTTATTACTAATAATGCAGTAATTTATATCTCTTTAAGGTGTGCTTCCTTGATGTTTCTATGCGTGATCATTTTTACAAAGTTGGTGCTGAAACGATTGGAATTCTCATCGATAAGCATCCATATATCCTCCAGAAGATATTACTTTTTGTTGATCGAAATCTCGATTCCCTAGAAGAAGTTAATAATTTCAGTGTTTATAGATAATAACAATAATTTTTATTTCGCGTCGATTATTGGAACATTTGGGACTGAGAAAGAATAATAGTATAATCTTTTTACCTGACGTAATAATTCAGTGTTCGTTTAAAAATTATCATTCATTCATTTAATCATCGCTTAGCATTATGTAACGTTAGCTTTTCTGTTTGCTTGAAAGTTTTGATTTGTGCATTCTTTTATTAGTGACAATTGTTTGATTATATAAGTACTAAAATCATAACTGAGATATTGAAGTGGAACTATAACCAAATTGTCAAACTCATTTTCAGTATGCAGTAGAAGTACTGTCAGTAGCACCTTTGTCAAAATGTCGCTTGTCGGTAGATGATGTCGGCATAATATGTGGAAAATGGTTGATCAACAGGCCAGCAAATCATCCTGCGTCCAGAATTGCCAGGCTAGCATTTTTTTACTATTAATGATTATTAATAATAAAAACATTTAAGAGAAACGAAGATTACTTTCATACGTTTAAAATTTCCAAGGATTTAAATTTTATAAGATTTGTTAACAATTTCAACATCCATTATGAAGAAAAATTTTTCATATTTACCAGGTTTAATCAGATTTAGTTAAGGCGTGTGCTTGGTTCTATGAATTGGGGGACAGATGAAAATGGAAAGCTTTGGTTGCAGCCTGAAGTACATATTGTTTGTGCTGATACCTTAATTAAAGGGCATATGGCCCAGTGTAAAACAACTAATGGATTAATTTCGAAATCTTGGAATAAAGTCGCCAAACTGGCGGCGAAAGTACCTGATTATGAACATCAATTTGATGCTTTCTGTTGGGATATTTTAGTACGATTGAAATTACCGCTGCAGGTACTTCTTATTTTAATGTTTTTATTTTAATGTCTTACAGATAAGGTAGCAAAATGATCTATTAAATTTATTGAAATTCCACTTTTCTAATGATATAGCCTGTATTCGATAACTCAATATTTATAGGTACAAAAAAAGCTACTGCTGTAGAATTTACACTTGCGTCTAAAATGTGAAAAAAAGGTGTGCCTAAAACCCCTACTCTGTATTAGCATTAATCACCGTTGATAGAAAATTTGAAATCAACTATTACTTTGTTTTATTTTTTTTGAATTTTTAATTATCTATGTGATTATTCAGTTGTCGACTAATTTTCAAATAATACTAAATAGATATGATCAGGCTTATAAAATTTTTTTTTCTCAGGCAGATACTGTAAATATCCAGTCAGTCAACGATCTTGTTTCTTTCTTCGTTTTCGTTATCCAGCGATCATTATTAAGGTTGCAATAACTTTATATTTTTACAGGACATCCTTTTCTCAACTTTTATATTTCATTCATTGTTAAAGGCATTGTAATGACAATTTTAGTGAAGTTTTCCTTGAAGCTTTAATCAGACAAAACAGCTTTCAGTGTCGATGAATTTTTATCATCAGGCTTATCATTATGGTCGGAGCTTATTACATCTGGTTGTTATGTTGGATCAGTAGTAATCCTTGCACGACTTATATCATCATTTCCGGATGCAGTCACTACCTTAATTTCACATGAAATGTAGTCCAAGTTTAAAGATCAAGTTCTAATTCATAACATTTTTTTTTTTTTGATGAAACTTCAGAGCTAAATGTGACTATTAGTTTTGGAATTTTCTTGCAGCTTCATACAGTGTCTTGATCGATTACTTCTGTGTGATTTGTCGTCTTATGCAGTTCAGTTTATTGCTGGTGCCAATAAATTTCCTGGTCCAACCATTCGACTTTTAAGCTCAGCTATTACAGTTTGTGTTCAGTTACTGAATTCACTAAATCTAATGACACTTTTGGAAAAATCGGGACTTCTGATTTTTTAGTACGAAGTAGTTCGAGCCTGAAATTTCTCATGAGATCCAAATTTTAAACATAAAGTATAGGTTTGGAATAAATTTCAGTACCATATGAATAAGGATTTTTCGCAAGTAAAATTGAGCAGTTGGATACAATTGTTGTGCTGCAAAAGACCTACTCAGTGGAACACCGATAAATCTACGCTTTACCTATTAGGAACATTGGTCCGTATAGCATTTACAAAGGATCAAATAAAGCTATTAGGTATTCCGGAATTGCTTAAAACCAACTATGCTGCATTGCTACAGGTAAAATTTTATCAGAAACTGCGAAGAAGAAAACTAATTTGTCATGAAAAATTTATATGTCGAATTAGAATTGTACAATAATCGAATGAAACAAACCTTAGTAGCACGATTGTATGCATCGTATGTCGTTTAATTTTTAGAGCAGTTAGGCTATCTGCGATAGGATGTGTTAAGTTTTTGATTTAAATAGCTTTAGATATCTTCAAAAAATTCCAAATCAGCATCTTTACTTAGAATTTCAATCCATTTTCTTCATCATTATAAAGTTAAATTATAATTATTAAATAATTTCTGATTTACAGCAGTGGAAAGATGGATCAAAGAGTGTGCTATCGTGGTTTACAAGTGATGATAGCGTTCCTCCTATTATTGATTCCGCAAATATGAATGTTTCACCATGGGCATCGTTTGCACTGTTATTAGCTGAACAACAGAGCCATGAAGCCTTTTATGAAACTTTATACCAAACAATGAGTAAGCATCCAAAAAATAGTTTGGACCAGTCCGTAAAGGTATACTGTAATATTGAAATACTCAAACTTAATATGCTTTCATTTTTTCCTGGTTTTGTTAAATTAAATTGAGTTAAGTACTCAGTGTTCAAAATTATTAAATCATAGTCAGTAATGTAGCACCAGTATTAAGTTGTATCACTGCATTAAATAATCATGGCTAGCGATTTAACTTATGTAATGGTTAAGGAATGTAAATAACAGATCCTAATTACATTTGCAGCTTTAATATTTTATTAAATCAGTATGTCTGCGTAGCTGCAGAAGTTAAATCTAAGGTCTTTCTGGTCCCATCGACATAATTTCGTTGTTGTCATTGGATTGTGATGTTCTCATTTTTAGAAGGCGGCATCCAAATCTCATTTGAATATTCCAATTGAACGATTACACTTTAATCGATGGTTACAATTTGCATGCAGTGATAATATCAAAGAACACCCGATTTTTCCTCTTATTCTACAGAATTTGGCAATTCATTTATATTCACGTAAAATATATTGGGCGTAAGTATCAATTGAGCCATTACTTTCGTATTTGTTATCTGTTATATATCAGCGCACCACTAAGTGCTCATCATTCAACGTGTTACGGACTGCACAAATTTATTATATAGTGCACAAATTTGAGACCAAAAAATTTGATTCCATTCAGTGTTTGCATTTATTTATTCCTTGTTTACTTTTGCTTTGATCTTATCTGGGATATTTTTTAGGACAAAATTTTGCTTCGGCGAGAAGTATTTAACGAGTTTGTCCAGTAAATCTTTGTTTGAAGAATTACGAGAAAAGATTTTACCTCAAATGGAGCATAGCAGTGAAAAGGGTATCTCTCTATTTTATAAGGTAAAACTAGACGATTTTACTTTTCCAGTTCAATTCAATATGCTTCATCACATTAAAGTTATTCGATAGCATTAAATAAAGCGAATATTTTGCAAGTTATTATTAGACAATCTTCAATTCTGTCCGCTGCATTAGGTCAAGTTGTTTAAAATAAGATGTGCAATATATGTCACAAAAATTCATTACTCGGGATGAATTTGAAAATGACGTGACTTTTACATCTTGAAGTCGGTCATTTGTCAAAATTCTCGCTTTGTATGATGTAAATACAAAAGTTGTTCATAATTTTAATGACCATTCTGATGTTCAATCAAGCATAATTTTTAATGGGAATTCTTTTCTTATTTCAGGCATTTGCTCAATGGCTGTCAAATCCAAAAATCTGCAGTATATCATTTCATGCTTTTAACGATTTTTTACTAGATCATTTATTACAGTTTATTGTTGCGAATGATTTCGTTAGTTTTTACATACATATATAGCCGATTCACTGATTTTTTTTTGTAGAAAAATTTTGTTGTGAAAAACTTTATTCATTTCATTCCATTTTTCTAATACCATTAATCTTATTGGACTGTTCCTTTCGTTTCAGCATCCTTGGTTGGAATATATAAATGTAAGTAAAATGCGGCAGAAAATCAGTGACGAACAGAAGGTTTGCGAATTTTCACCCATTAACATCTGAAAAAAAAGTTTTTGTTAAGAATGTCATGTAGGTTTTTTCTTCATCTCTTCGTAATGAATGAAATAAAACATTCAAATTTTAGATTAAGATATTTTTAAAATACAATCATTTTCAATTTTGCTTTGCAGCTGTATATATTTGCATGTCATCTTGGTTCACTTGTGGTCAACCGTCCAGTAATCCAGACTCGTAACCTTACACAGCTGATAGCTCAATTCAGCAAACGCAATCAAGCATTGCCTTATCCAGTAATACCGTTGCATTCCACATTGCCGCAAGAAATTCCTTTCGATTTGTCTATTGCGTCTGATTGTTTTACACCATATGCTTCAAATTTAAAAGCAATCAACGAATCTGCTAGGTTTTTCTGTGCTTTAAGAATGTTTTTTTTTTAAGATTTCCTTTTGTTCGAATTACAAATTTTCGATAAGGAAATGGAACGAATTTTTAACATGAATCGAGAATTAAAATTTATGGTGCCTGAACTACTTTTATAATTGGCAGTTATAGGGTGTTTGTTGGTGCAAAAGATCAGATAGAATTGCTGGATGACGAGTACGTCGGTTACTATCCGGATCTGTATACTAAATCAACATCTGAATTAGTCATCATGTTGAAATGTGGCACTGCTTTCGGTAGCAAATGTGCTAATCCTACAACATCTACTGTAATCGTTACAGTCAGTCGATATCAGGTACAGTATTTATTTTCCATTGATATTTGCTGAAACTTCATGCTGACTTTGGAGATCCAAAATTTTGAAATAAAATGATTGCAAAGACTAGACTTTAAAAGAAATTAGAAAAATTTTAATGTCTTTTCCATGTATGTTTTTTCTAGACGTCTGTGGAAACTAAAATGAAGGTTAATCGTCAGAAAAGATCCGATGAATTAGCAAACATCTTTTCTAAATTGTTTGAGCAAACATCACTTCATTGTGCTAATTTGGAAAATATAGTGATGTAAGTGATGAGAAATTTTCTGATCTGTTTTTCTCATTTAGTTCCACATATTAGTTTCACTGGTAGTTCTTTGTCAAATGAAATTGGAATTTTTAAGAGTTTATGGAAATGCCATTATTCTCTGTTATAATGCGATATTAATACGATAAATACAAATGCATATATGGTAAATTAAAAATTGACTGTTTTTTCTCCATCTTAATCTTTTTAGTACGAACTTGTCAAAAGATTGTTTTTTTAGTAAAATGCATAATTATATGAAAGATGCTGACTCTCTGTCTACAGTGCATGCAAAACTTTTACGTGATGCAGGTCGAATATTGTTTTATCATTCTACTTCTTCCATCACATCGTTGGAAATGATTTTCCCGGCAGCAGCAGATTCGTTTGGATTCGTTCTAGCCAAACTTGGAAAAGTTGGTTTTATTTGGGTGACAATTTTTTTTTCGTCTGAAAAGGATTGGAGACTACAAAGCTCTCGAAGAAAAGCTGAGGATGAGACATGATAAAATCTTATCAATCAGTTTGTGCTACATTGTCATATTTATTCTCGCTTCCAAAAAATGCGTTCGATATGATGAGTATGACAGTCAGCAAATGAATGTAATTTCAAAAAAGTTTTATTTTTTTACTTGGAGGAGATCTTAATAATCTTTTATTTGTTTGCAGGCATTTATTGTTGATAACCCACACGAACAGCACAATTTAATGCGCGTTATTCTAAGTGGTTCTCATTTAGCTCATCTTCTAACGCCATATTTTACTCCTCAGTGTGTCCCACCAGCGGAATTACTTGATTTATATACATCTTTAAGTAAAGCGACCCGTGATCCAGTCACATCATCAACTGCATTAGCTTTATTATCACAACTGGATATTAAGAATGCTGGTGATAGGTTGGCCTTTATTTCTTTAAATTTAAATCCTTGCTAAAAATAAGTGACCAAGTTAAAGCATATGTGTATTCAGTGTGTGGAGTTCCACATTGGCTTATAATCGCAGTAGCAGAAATCGTTTCCTTCAGTTTTTTGTAAGCTCTGCATCTGTTGAGGAAAAAGGGCTTGGAAAAAATATTAGCGCTTGTTTCGATGAATTTTTTAAAGATTTTGTAAATTTTTTCTCACTGATGAATTAATGTCATTTTCAGTGGTGTTGTATCTTCGATTATCTTGAACCTGAGTCTGCAACTTATTTGGAATAGTATATTGTATTATTTCAGATTACCACCTTATCAATTCTCACAACTTATGCCTGCCGCATTCGAAAATCTGATTTCAATATCAAATACCTCTCTGCCTCTATATGATGTTTGCGCAAAACATTTTATCCACTCCGTATTTCATCGATTTCCGAGCAATTTTATTGATGGCTTAAGGCTTTCACTTGCTGGTACGGGTAGTCATATAATTTTTTTTTTCCTAAAAGTTTTTGCAACAAAACCGAAAAATAATTCATGTAATTTATTCTCGTTTTTAAAGATAAAGGATTTAGGATATATGGATATGCAGTTCTAAATGCTTTTTCTGTTTCGTAATTCAAGTTTTTAATCTTAATGCATTTGAACAACACTTTATTTTCATGTATTTCTTGTTTCACGTTACATTGTTAAATTACCATTAAGAATGTGCAAGGATTTCATTTTGTTTTTCAAGCAGGAATACCTATTCCAATCTTTAAAATATGTTCTTTTCTGAAAATTTTAGTGAATTATATGATATGTTTTATAATTTAAAAAAAGTTTTTCTTAGCTAGAATTTGATTTCAAGATAAATCGTAATAAAACTTTTTTTTAGCATGCGATACAAAAAGTACGCCAGCTTTCATATTTGATGAAATTATCAAAAAACTTGGTGCAGATAACGTGAGCATAAAGGATACTAAACCAGAGTATATTATTGATGCTGTAACTGTAAGTTTGATATGTGGCTGTTCTTAATTTTGGTCTAAATTAAAATATGTTCAGATTTAATTCAAATTAAATTAATTCGTGTAAATAATTTCACAGGTGAATCAAATTAATGTATCGTTAATTCTTAAATTGGCTGTTATTCCGCAGTATGCTGCTTTTATGTCTTTTTTTGCTCGCAACATCTAAAGCAGTAGTTCTCGAGAGATGATTTTTTAATGTAATATTTGAGTTATTCTAGGCGTCTGTTGCAAGTAAAACAATTGCTGTACAATTCAGAAAATCTAGAACTGAATTATCTACGAGACTTTACAATGTTTGGGCTAATTATCTACCAAAAGTGTTACATTTGGTTAACTTTTTTCTATACAATGCCGCATCTTTATCATTTGATTCTGAACAGCCTACTGGAAAACTTGAATCAGGTCTTCTTCCTTTTCCAACCATCGATAATCCATTTTTAATCAGTGTTTTAAATCTTTTTCATAAAATGAGTATAGATTATATTTTTGAAGACTTTATGGATTTTTATTCTTTTGATTTATAAATAATTTCATTTTACATTTCATGAAATTAGCATAGAATAGAAAGCAAAGATTTTACCTCTTGATGTTAGTACTTATTAAGCCGAAAAGAGGTGACTTTTCGTATTGCTTCTGAACTATATAATTATTTTTTATGCTTTCTTATAGCTTTTCCATTTATTGCTAATTTGGCAAATTACTAAAATATTTCCAGAATTACGACAAGTATTCGAAAGTTGCATACAAGTGTTTGGTCCACTTCTAGAACAATTTGGTCCTGGTCTTCCACCATGGAATCCAGCTGATGCTGATTGTGCTGCTGTTGTTCTTGATTATTTTGTATTGTTAATGGAACAACTTCATCTATTATATGATATGTACTTTCCACCCGGTTCTGAAAACTTAATAACACTGTTTTGGCGTTACTACGCTGAGAAATTGGCATTTTTTACACATGGCGGTTCTCACGTGCATCAAATTATTGTACGTTTTATTATAGTCATTACATGTTAATGCTATTTATTGGGTTAAGGCTTAGACTATAACTAGATTTTTGGGATTATTTTAACTTGATCAGCTATCTCGACAATATATATATATGCGTGAAGTCCTGAAAAAAATCCCACTGTATTTTTTTTTAAATTAGCTAACCATATTCCACTATAAAATATTACCCTGGACAATTTGAAACTTCGGGATTGATATTATTCTTCGCCTGTCTTTTTTTTAGTAATTAACGTTGGTAATTGTATTTCAGTATAAATACACTAAATCAATTAAATCTTACTACTTGTAAATCTTATTGTTAAATTTCCTTCAGCAAAGTGAAATTTTGCAGGAAAGTCGTTTTATTAACATTCCTTGGCACTTATTTTGGCCAAGTTTATATGATCTCTCTTCAATGGATAAAATTATGATTGATGGCGCACCTGAAAGTGCACCTCTTATTACTCAAATTGTTGTTCGTATTCCATGGCTTCCTCTCATGCAATACCAAGTGACTTATTTTTGTCATTTTCTTTATTTATTCCTAGTTGTTGCGTAATTCAAGGATTCATTTATCTCTATTCGTACTTTTCAGTTACAATGTCGTTTACGTAGCATCATAGAATATACATGCCTTATTTGGGAATCATTTTCTTCCCTTTAAATTACAGTTTTGTTATCATTATTCTATTATGAAATTTCAATTTTTTCATATATTATTTTCATTAACGGTTCAAGAATTTTTTTCCTATAATTAAATTTACAGGCACAACAACCCTTAGATGCACATCGTGCTTTTTATTCTTTATTATTTTCACTATTGGCAAGTTGTATCAGCCGACCATCCAATTATACAGTTAGTCACTTTTCCAAGGTTTTTTTTTTAAAAAAAGCTGATTATTGTTCGTTTAATCACGCATAGAGTTCATGAATCGGAATTGTTAATGAATAATCTCTGAACAACATTGTTCATCTTCGTTCTTAATAAAATTGGAGCATCGTGCTGAACCTATGACTTATCTTCCAATTTTCAAACTCCATTCTTGACTTTTCAGCTCAGGCTTACAGCATTTAACCTTTGATTTTTAACTCTTGTTCTGTGTTATATCTTTTGACCTGTATTATGCGCAACGCAATTTTAGCGATCCTTTTTTTTAGAATTTTTTGTTTCATGTTAAAAGTAAGAGTAGAAGAAATCGCACTTATCTTTCCTACAAAAAAAAATTATATTTGTAGATTTATTTGGGAGTCTTCAAAGAATTTGGTGATAACTTCAAATGATAATGAACTGATAGCAGTTCGAGAAGTAATGCATAAACTAGTTTACTACGACTTATTCAGTAGATCTCTGGAAAAAAGTAATCTGAGGGAAGAGTTTGATTAAAATATGGGTACTATTTAATGATTTGATGCAGTCTTTGCTTTTTGCTTGTAACCATGCTATTAGTCACTGCAGATTTGCCGCGCTTCGTTGCCAAAATTGATGAACTCATTGGGACCATTTTCTTGGCATTTAATTGATGTGGAACAACTTAATGTTATATCATCTCGTATTGCATCAAATTTTTCATCAACAGTCCTGGCTGATCCAAACGATGTTACGAATGCTTTTTTCGAGTTTGCCTTTAGTAAAATGTTAAATACAAGATTTCGTCATTTTAAAATTTCAATTTAAATCTTTCCCGTAATTTTGCTGTTATGTCAATTTTTTAATACAAAGGAATATAGTAGGAAAGAGAATCGATGCTCCATTTTCACAGTTACTTTGGTAGAAGCATAAAGGGTAAATATTCAATTTTTTTGAATCAACAGGTTGCACCGTCGCGTTTGCTTTCTTGGGACATTTCCGGTTGATGTTGTTTCGGCTGCAGAAATCGCTCAGAAGCAATCCTTTTATGTTCGTACTCAACTTGCCTTAATGCTTGGATACTCAGACGATTGGGCATGGCTGAGACGATTTTATGAAGACCAAATCAAAATTGTTCATAATATCATTTCATCAACAGGTGTTCCATTCCATTATTTGCCGCTAATGTTTTAAAATTGGCAAAAGCAGTGTTGCTGATATTAAGAAGTTTCGGCGATTCTTATTTTACAAAAAAACTTGACATTATTAATTTCTGCTTTTTGCAGGACTAACGTCGGAAAATCACACATATCTGACACGTGAATTGACATCATTCTGGTCTGATATATCAAATAATAAATTCCTGGGTAAGTGATTCAATTGTTTTAGTTAGCGCGTCATTCAAGAAAAAATGAGAGGAATTGAGGGACAAAAAAACTTTTGTAACTAGAAATAAAAGTTGAATGAACTTGAATTGGAGAGACATGTTTGCAACATAACTTTTCAATAAATTTGTAGAAAGGTGCTGCACAATCCAAAAACTAAAATTACAAAGTATGTGAAGAATATTGGAGTTTTGCTCTTCTTCTAAAATAAGAAAATATTTGTTGTCAATATGCTTCTGAGAGATATTTTGCTGCTTTTTTATCAGAGTACACTTTAAGCAATTATTCTGGCAATTATCAAGAAACCGAAGATTACTTCATATAGAATCTGCAAGGAATCTGTTGTACAGAAATTAAGGAAGACGGAAAAATTCATGATTAAAGTGCAGAACATGATTTTTTTCAGAAGTTTTTTCATCAACTTTGTTGCAATGGTTGGAGAAAAATTCTAATTCTTCAGTTGTTTTATTACTAATGAATACTGCCGTAACTTCGTTAAAAGTAAAGCAGAGTTCGGCAGGTCTTCAAATTATCGAGAAATGTATTATAACTTATTTTGAAAGTATGTTTTTTAATTATAATTGTTTCTTTAAAACAGTTAATATCTCCTTTTTCATTAAGATCTTAAAGTATCTTGAAGATCACTTAAGCTGTCAAGGTTACTCAGTGTAATTTGTTTCATAATAGAAGTTTTTAATTAGGCTTTTAATTAATTAGATGAGTGTTACTTCATTGTGAATGTTATTTGAAGATGTAACTTTGTATCAGATGGAGTAAAAGAATTTCATCCTTAAATGTCATGATTATTAAATTTTGCTCTTTGCCAATAAATATGAAATCCTGAAACAACTTATGAATGATGTAAACGTGAAACTTTAGATGTTTCTTTAGTCACTTATTTCTCAGTTTCGCAGCAATTAAAACAATTAATGCTTATTATTTCTTCAAGAAATGGGCTTGTGCGAATGGAATGTTGTACTAAAATGGACTGCATTACCTGACTATTGCGGGCGAATTCTTTTCACTTTACCTAGGTAAGTTCTGTAATCTGTTTGTTTAATATTTATCGCAGGTCAAAAGTTTAATTTTATCGAAATTCATCATAAGTGAATCTTTTTCGGTATTGCATTACAACTGCACAATCTGCAATGAATTAATACTACAAATTTATGATGCTGATATCTCTTGAGATTAGTCAGTGAATTCATTTTTTTAATGCTTAAAGTTTTTGAAATGAGATATGTCAGATTGTATTTTAAATTATCCAAAATATTGACTCTAACTATTCCTATTCAATAATAGAGTTACTTGAATTATGGGACTTTACGAAAATTACGACTTTCATTTGATGAATGGATGTAATGATATTCAAGTTTTAATGAAATGCGTAAGATTTTATTATTTTATTCTTTCAACGTGTGATTAATTTTAGTTCTGACAATAACTTATTCTTTTTGCCATTGTGCGCAAATACATTTATAATGAAACAACTTATGTTGCTGACATCAATGAATGAGCTGGAAATGGCATCATTGCAACAAGAAAACGCGTTGTTGCGAACATTGCTGGATTATGTAACAACCATAAAACCAAGGTATCATTTATGAAAGTGTAAGGAGATAAAGTTTCTGATTCCTGAATTATCTCTTACTAAGATAAGTGTTAGATAGATTTTGCTGATCACATGTTTACATCTTAGTTACAATAATGCCTAACATCAAAGGTTTTTATTGAGCTTTCAGATAGACTGGATTTGACAATAATTTTAATATTAATGAGATTCAATCATATGTCCAGCAAAGTTATGTCAAATCTGCTTGCCTTGGAAGCAGAACTAGTGCTGTAATCTAACTCTCATTTTTTATAATATTATCTTTAGGATAAAATTACAGTTTGGTTTCATGAAACATGTTGAATAGATATTTCTATTATTAAATTTATTTGCAGACATATCGAAACTAATTGTTTTGTCGTTAATGAACATTTCGATAGTAATAGAAAGAACAGTATATTTGTTTACAATTATTTTATTTTTGTAATCTTTCCTCTTAAAAATCTATTAAAAAGGTGTAAATGTTGAGATGAAAAAAAGCGCGTGGCAAAAAGAAGAGAAAGCAGGTAAGGAAGATAATGGCGTTTTGGTGATATCGAAAAACAATTTTATTTCATTTCAGATATGTGACCAATGAAGCGGCATTTCTACTTTTGATGGAGAAATTGCAAAAATTATTACTGCGACAATATAAGTATTCTGTGGTACAAGGCAATCAGTTCCTAATGCAGTATTTGGAATGGCTTGAACGAGTGTACACTGATGATAAGTCAAACTCGTTTTTTTCCTTGATTGGCTTTTCAAAAAAGCAACCTTATTCCATCAAGTTAGTTTTATTTTTGAATTTAACTTATCATTTGGAAAAAGTGTGTAGATTTGTAGCTCTTGGTACTTCATTGTATATTCTAATAATTGTGATTTATTTTTTAGAATATTTGGAGAAATGTCTTTGTTTAGTTCAACATTTTTTCCAAGTTTTGTCGATTCAAAATCTTTGCAGTACATAACAATTCTGTAGTTACTAAATTTATCGCTACTTTTGAAATTTTGTTGTTTTTTTAAAAATCGTACTTAAAAAATTAGAAAATTTCTGATACAATTGAAATATCATTATAAATAGCGAAATTAAATTCTCTTTTCAGAATGCGCTACATATGCCATTTGATGAATTTGTATATATCACAGCAAAGAATAACTCCAAATCAGCCACCACGAAGTACTGCCAATACTCCGGTGCTCAACTGTCGTATGCAATCATTCAAGGAATTATGCGCAAACAAGCAGTATATTCCATTCCAGGCAACTTCTCAGCTGGCTCAACCTTATTTTATTCAGGTCCAGGTTTACCATATCTCACATACGAGTGAATTGTTTGCGCATGTTGTTCGATCGTTATACAATGAAAAATACTTGGAAGAAATGCTTGCTAATGCCACAAATTCCTACTAATATATAAAATTATGTTTCAGTTTTTCCGCTTGAAACTTTTATTACTGTCTTTGAGATTCATAATTTGACATGAAAGTTTTCAATGGAATGGATTAGTTCCTAAGTGTCACATAAAATTTATCGTAAAGACTAAAACGGGAAATTGCATAATCTTTTTAAAATTAGATTTTTAATTTTAATGTTTTGTTGCTTAAAATGTCTTATTTTATTTTCTTTAATTGGCGTTATAAGTTTTTGTTTGCTTGTAATTGTAGTTTCATTTCTCAATTTTACGTTTCAGCGCACTTTATGGCGCTAATAACGTTACTTTGTTATTATTTCTACTAATCGAATTTCCTTTTTCCACAAGTTTATGAGATCTCTGTAGGATCATTTAATTCATTTCACTGCATTTCTTCAATAATCGAAGTTAGCAGGGAAGCAAATAATTTTGGGTAAAGTGTTCTCATTGAATGTTATCCATGGTTTTCTTTAATTTCAAGTTTTATTGATATTTACAATTTTTGCATAATTCATTTGTACATAAGCTTTCCGATAAATTTGTGAGTTGATTACCGATAAACTTGTGGGTTCACTTATTCGTTATACAGAATGTTTCTCTGTTACATATTCTGTTATACAAAAAGTTTCTATAATTATTGCAAGCATTCCATGTCTGATAAGAATTCAAGTAAGTTCAATAAAGTTTTAAACCAAGCTGTTTCCATGTTGCAAACTAGCTTGTTTAACTTGTTTATGAGTGTTTATTCACTTTTCAGATTCCTGGTCGATTTATCAATTTTTTAGATAAAGCATCATGATTCGGAAGATAGCTTTTCAGTTTTGTTACGCACAGTTTTGACAAGGCGTGTTTGTCCCGGTATAGTTTGAGGTCGTAAAATCTAAAAAAATTGGTTTCATAAGTGATCAATTTCGATATTCCATATTCAAAATCCATATATACGGGTAATTTCAGCAGTTTTTTAGAAATTCCAAAATGAAATAAAACACTGATTTGCATGTGATTTTTTTCGTTAATTGAAAAATCGTATGAAACCTGAAATGAACAGACAAGATTTTCATCAACGATCATGCTTGCAGCCGCGTTATCAAATTGTCCACAATAATGCGGTGCCGAAAAAATGGTTACTAAACGGCGATTGCCAAAAAACTCATAACCATCTTGTACCACCTGAAATTTCCCCTAATTTTCAATCAAATAAGCATCACATGCATAAATAAACTTATTTATATTTGCAATTGATAATCAAAAATGCTACTTTCGAAGTTCTGTAGTTTTATATGAAAAAATCTCATGCTTCTTCACTTTTCTCTTATTTCAAATATTTTCAAGCATCTGATACATCTGAAACAGTTAGAAATTTAACTCTTCCAAGAATTTCATTTGTGGTGTACGATGTAATGCAATAACATTTGCATGTTAATACTGAGCGGTACAGGAATTGTTTCATTTCAAGAGAGAATATTTTTGAAATTCAATTTTTTATACTTGATGAGCTCGAGCAATCATATCAATGTCCAGCCTTTTGCAAACATCAACGACAACATCCTCACCAAAACCAAACGATGCACCGCGTAAATTAGGTTCAAAACCTTGAATACCTACTACCGGATCAGCCCAAAGCAAATCCATTTCCAGAGATGGACTAACCGGTTCCAATGGACGTGGTATATTACGTAACTGCAAGATTGAATGTTCATTTTGATAATCATCAGTAAAGGTGCTACGCCATTAATTCTACCTTCAAAATATTGAATTCCTAGATTTTAGGATGAATGCAAAGATAATTAACCAAATAGCTACGCACATACATTGATTTACTCTTTCAGCTCTCCCGTAAAAATTTCACATTTCAAATAAAAATTTTTCACTGCAAAAGGAAAGGGTAACAAGGAATGAAGAAGGTAAGGTCATCTCTAAAGGTGATTGATCTATGTTATCTTTTTGATCATTATGTATGTCATTAAGAATTCCCGGAAACAAAAGGATAATTTTAGATTATGTGGAAAAAACCTGTTCGAAATCTTTTAATTGTGGTGATAAACCTCCATGCATGCATAATATTCGACTACCAACACAGCCACATAAAGGCATAACAGCAAATACATCCTAAACCGGAAATTTATTCCTTAAAATTTCTTTTGATTATAATAATCTCTGTGCTTGAATAAAGAGTAATTCGAAATTGATCGCAATCATTTCTGTTCCTCACATTGAATAAAAATTGTACTTATATAATGCTAAGTTAATGTTAAATTATTTGTCATATTTGTTTGGAAAAACAAAAATTTTCGTTTAGAAATTTCGATTCTATATGCGTATTATACCTGAAATCCTTGCCAAAGACGATTTGAGCCGTAACGTCGTAAGCATTCATCATAAAATCCATACACTCGATTAACCGTATTACATTCGTGATTACCGCGTAACAGGAAAAAATTATTCGGATATTTTATTTTGTAGCAAAATAAAAGACAAATTACTTCCTGAAAATCATTGCAGATTATTTATGAAAATTTGATTATGATTTCAAAAAAATAGTCATTTTTAAAGTGAATTGTAGACAATTTGATACTTTTGGAATAGGTTGTGCTTTTTTTAAATGAAAAATTTGAGATTTCCTAAAATTTAACTACAGTTTAAAATTTAAAAAGAAAATTTTAAATTGAATTATGAATTCATATTGAATGTTGCTTGATATACCTTTTTTTGAATGATAATTTTAATAATTGATAGAAGTAAGTAATATTAAGTGATACGATGAAAATTGAAAGAAATTGATGAAATTGTTTATCTGATATTTAGACATCTGTTTATCCTCACTTGTATCTCTCATTCATTTTTTTGTAATTTCAAAATATAATTAATAGGGCATTTTTTTTTATTTAGGTTCGTTGGTAAAGCCTAAATATTACTATTTCGCAGTCTTTTTTATTTCATATTTGGCTTCTTCTATTTGTCTAATTTGCTCTGATCCTTAATTAAATTTCATACTGTAATATTGTTTTTTTTTTAATTTCATTCTAAAGTTTGCATCAAAAAATTAAACCATTCTTGTAAATTTTTTTTTCGTTTGTCTTTTTATTATCTTCCTATAGCTTGCCTACCTTTTTCCATTATATTGATTAAAAAGTTCAACAAGTTGCTTACATAAATCAATCAAAATTTTTCAGTAAAATTGAAATTGAAAGAACTAACAAGATTTTGAGGACCACGATCTATATAATCACCAAGGAATAGGTAATTTGATTGTGGTGGAAAACCACCGCGATGAAAAAGTCGTAATAAATCACCATATTGACCGTGTGTATCGCCACAAATTCTAACTGGTGGATCAATTTCAATAAACATAGACTGAGTCAGAAATATCTGTAGGCACAACAAGATTAAGATTATTTCAGAATTTACAGTTTTGATTTTTCAAAAATTTTAAGCTATCATCTTTTCACGAAATTTAAATATTTTCAAAATTTTCCAATGAAAGAAGTATTTGGGAAAATTTTCAAAAAAAACCGTTTTTTTCGCAATTTCAAAATTTCATATGGAAGAAATGTGGTGTAGCTTTTTTATTTAAAATATTTAAAATTCTGTCTTTACCTCTCGAGCTTTCATGCATAAAGCAAGTAAATCATCTTCGCGTACATTTTTGGTTAATCCACCACCTTCCTTACCTACCGATAACACTCGACATAAAATATCGTCCACTTTCATTTGGTGAACAATAATTAACAATAATGTAATTCAAATTCAAAATTTCAGTAAATACTCTCAAAAGCTAACTGCCTTTAAAAAACCACCGACAGCGAAAATTCCATCACATCAAATTACTTTACTTATTTAAACAATTTACAGCACTTAGAATGCGAAATTTCAAGAAATTGCATTATATATTCAAAAAATAAATAAATAAATGATGAATATTTTAGTTGTAAATTCATTTTTGGCTACAAATATTCCTTTGGCGCATAATAAATGAATTTTAAATTTTGATTTAATACCTGCTAATACCTTTTTTAATCCAATTAAATTTTTAATCTAATTTTTAATCCAACTTAAAAATTACTATTGATTACAAAGTTTATCACTTAATTTATCTAACAAATGGATAATAGCGCATTAGGAGGATTTAAAATTTTTGAGCTATAAATTCAATTGGCCATATTTCATGTTGAATACATTCAAAAGGAACAAAAACTGTTTTTTCGTCTTTCGCTACTTTTTTTTTCTGCTTTTTTTTGTCTGAATGATTTGAAAAATGTATTCATCGATTGAAATCATCATTTACATCGATTACCACCGAATATTCCATTGATATCCTAATCAGTAATGAGTAACTGCATTTTAGCTGATTTTAGAAATCGAATTCAGAATTGCTGCGACAATTTGACCCATCATATTAACCGGTCAACGAGTAAGCTAGGCTCGCTATCCAATATTTTCATATTATCATCAATTTTCAGTAAATGAATTTGCATTAATAATCTTTTCTAGCATTATTTTAGCAATATTCTCGGCAAGTGCTAAGCATAATTGAATAAAGCATATGCTGCTTTTTATTGCTTTAGAAAAGGCGTTTAGAAATGATATTAAGAAAGTTTTTTCGTCGTTTCTAAATCAATTCACTTAGTGTTACGCATGCAATATACATTGGTTAGGCAATTACTTTTTTTTTTTTTAACATTTTACTGCAGTTTAATTTTTACTACTACATATCAATAACAAGAAGAAAGAAAAATTTGGTGTGATAAATAAGCAATATATCAACTGATAGTATTATAATAATATAGATAGCATATGAAACCTCATTTACGAAATTTATTAATCTGATTATTGAATAAAATTTACAAAATATGATATGAAATTTAGGATTCAGATAATGAAAAATTATCAAATAAATAACTGTAATTGCCAATTAAAATCAAACATTACACAATGTTCAAAAAGACATGTGCGCATGAAACGTATCCCAGTCGAGATTGTTATAGAGATTGTTGTATATTTCAATTGTTCTTTACTGAAACATAAATTATTTATGTCATTTATTTACTTTTTTCCATTACTAATATTGAAATTTACATTATTACCAATTTTTGATGTAATATAATACTTAAAATATTATTGTTATCATTAATAGTTACATCACTTTTTAGACATGTTATAACTGACATAATGCTTTATCACTGCCATTGTTATTGATAACACTTAGTATTAGTATTATTATTATTATCAGTAATAATATCACTGCATTACTCATTACTCTCTTGGTGTCAGTGGGATTTCTTCAAAAGCCTCGAAATAATTGATATTAAATGGCTTCATCAAAACATTAGATAATTTTTTTTCTTTTCTAGCAAAAGCATAATTACCAGCATTTTCTTTTTTCCCCTCTTCTTTTTATTTTTATTTTGCCTATGCTTAATCTTATATAATTGTTGAACTGAAATGTTTTATTAATATCTAAATACTTCAGTAATTAAATACTTAGGAGCTATGTTATATTAAGAGATATAATATACCTCTGTATTATGCAAATTGAATTACAAAGAGCTAATTTTTATCATAAGCTTTGAATGCGGAAAAAAGAAAACAAAATTATACCTACCGATTTGGATTTGTTCGATTTTCTTTTCAATTAGAAATTTGCGATCTTTTACCAAATCTAACAAATGTTTGTCCTCGCTTGAGTGGATGTATTCCACCATGTGTCTCAGTATCCTCCACATTGTTCTTCAAAGCTGCTGCAAAATTGAAATTGAAATCAAAATTTAAATTAGAGACAAATTTGCAGAGAAAATTTTTATGATTGGATGAAGATTAGAAAGGAAGTTAAACAGTTCTATCTGAATAATGTAAGCAAGCTTATCAATGCTGTTTTAATCTAATGAATTGCATTTCATAGCAGTTTGCGAAGATGAAATTCATTTTTTAAATACTCAATTACTTTTTATCATTAAAATTTTAACACATCTCCAGCAATGGTTTTCTAAACTTTTACTAATTGCTATCACATAGCCAAATGACGATGAACATGGAAGAGCAAAAAAAGAGATTATTGTGTTATCATTGGTCTTGATATTAAGAATGCTTTAGAAATAACAAATCTGTTAATTATTGAAATAAGAACATAATTATTTAAAAATATCAATCCTTGAATAATTATAATTGAAGCACAAAAACGCTTGATATTTTTTGATTTCATTAGCATCACATTAAATGAGATTTTCAATAGTGAAATAATACTAGCTCAATGTTCGACTTTTTCATTTTTTAAATCTTTAAATTAAAAATCGCTAAAAAAATTAATTTAAAACTAAATTCTACACTGATTGCACTAATGGAACCAATGATAATGAATAAATGAAAAAGCAAGAATGAAATTACTACCTAAACCTCTTTCTATATATTCTCGATATCGATCCGCATACTCTCTTTGCAACAAATCATTTATCATTTCTCGTTGCATTTCTTCTGTAAAAGTAAATTACATAAAATTTTATGAATTGAGCATGCAAATTATATTTCAACCATTTTTTCCCCCTTCATCTTTCTTTTAGCAATAATATTTTCAATTCTTTTATAAAAAATAATTCCGCTTGTTAACCAGACTATTTAATTCTGTCATTTTCTATCAAATTCATTAAAATAAACTTTTTTCAAACATTTTTCCATTCAGAAATTTACGAATCATTTTGAATTTGAAATGTCCAAATTATAAGTTAGACATTAAAGAAAATTTCGGATGAAAATTTAATTTTAAAATTTACCATCAACAGGTAATACAAATCGCCGTGTATTGTAAACAGCTGCACTCGTCGATGAGATGAGCGCAATGGAAAAGAACACGAGCGCTGGTAGAAAATATGTTGTGGAGAACATTTTATATTATTTGGCTTCGTCCAATCAAAAAAAAAGTAAAAAATTTGTTGAATTTCAATAAAATTTTAAGTCAAATTGATTTATTCGTCACAATTATACATATATCGAATGAATCAAAAAAAAATAGAAAAGAAAAAAGCGACCGATGCTAGGAATAAACGATTTTTTTTTTGAGATGAGATGGAACAGTCAATTATTCAAATTTATGTGATGTGTGATGTTGCAGTGTGTCCGAATTGGTTAAATTTATTTTGAATTTTATCATAGTTCACATTTTATTTTTTTCTCTTCAAATTAACTTGATATTATGCTCAAGTCGATGTCTTCAAATCCTTAGAGATTGTACTAATAAATCTATCACTTACAGTTAAAATAGATAATTTTAAAATCAACAAATCTAAGGGAAGGAAACAACCATTCGCTTGATTAGATCTAAAATTTAAATTCTTGAGAAAAAAAGTGGAAATTGATCGAAAAAAATATAAACAACAATCTCTCCAAGGACATATTTATAACATTTTTCTTGTTTTTTTTTTTTCTCTCTCTCTCTCTCACGAAAAAGAATGCTACTAACTGATCATAGATTTTCACGTTTAATGATATTTCTTTTTATCACGCAATGATTCTCATATTTTTATACACGTTAATCATATTTTTAAGACATATTTATAAGTTATATTATAACATTTAAATATGACATCATCACATCCGTGATGAAGTTAATCTCCAGATGGATGGAATTAACTGTATTTTTATTAAAATATTGACAAAAGAAACAATTGTTGTGCAGTGTTATAACATCCTTTTAAATTTAATGATAGATTAGAATGAATTTTATTGAAGAATAAATTCTAAATCAGATAAATTAAACACAAACAAATATCAATTGTTAATCATTCCAAACTTTTAGTTAAACTAAATCAAAATGATTTCTTAAAAATTTCATTGCAATATGCAATTGTTGAAATAATAATCACTTCAAAAAGGAAGAGAAAAGTGCTTGAAAGAAACCGTCTTTTTTTTCTTTTTTAGAAAGTCTAACATTGCAAATGCATGAAAATTATTTGCATTTTATTGAATAAATTCGAGAAGGAGTGAATAAAAAGTTATGCGAAATAAACCAAACTTTTTAAATTAAAAATTTATAAGTCACAATTATTATGAATAATACATTTGGATGATAATTTATCAGCAGCCATTCTGCCTTTAATTTATTCCTTAAATTTGCTTAAGTTTATAATCAATATTATGGGAAGAAATTATTACTTAATGTTTGATTAATATATTAATAGTTTCTAATGAAAAAAAGTTGACAAATTTCATCTGTCAACAGCAAAAATCGATCTTATTCTGACATAAAAATAAATTATGCGTAATTTGCATGTGCATTTCAATACTTTTCATTTTATCAGAAAAAAAGATTTCATTTAGCATTTTTAATTACTTCTTCGAGTACCTAATTAATTAAGATTGAATCAACTGATTTTACTGTGCGTATGCGTACGAAACGAAAAAATCTTTAGCTCCCATATCAACTAGAATGCATAAATATATAAAAGTTATAAAAAATTTTAAAGCAAAAACTTTAATTTTTCATCACAGATATTTTATGTTGCAGTTTATTAATCTAATTTAACATAAAATTTTGTAAAAAAAAAAAAGACAAATTGCTAAAATAACTATATTACACGAAGTGTATCAAAATGTTCCGTTTCCATTATTATTATTATCTCGTTGGTTACGATGGTAGTCATATCAACGTTTATATGCTTGCTTAGTTTAAAAATGAAGTGAACAGACATATTGGGAGAGAATATTTTTGAATTGCATTTTTA